TCTAAGAAAGTCTCCTTCATCAGTGGTTTTGCTGCCTGCTGCGCAAGCGCAAGGACCCAAGTTCGATCCCCGGTACCAAAAAAAAAAAAAAAAGTCTCCTTCAATTACTGATCAAATAAGACATACATGCACAGAGAGAGACAACTCAAAACCTGGCAAGAACATAACATATAGGAAGTTCTCTTCTTAACAGAGACCCTAATAGTCACATAGTAAAGGGAGACAAAGGAGTTCTGGCAAGTGAGATTGTGGAGATTTTCTCAGCACTCTAGAGATGTCTCAAAAGCTCTATGCCTTAAGAGTTAAAGACATATTACAACGATACATACATATCCATGTTTATAGCAGCAAAATTCACAATGGCTAAATCTTAGAAGCAGCAACAGAAGAATGGATAAAGAAAATGTGGTCTACACAAACAATGAAGTACTGCTCTGCCATCAAGAAAGATGAAGTTGAGTCATTTGTAAGACAATGGATGCACCTGAGAACGTAAGTGAAATAAATCAGACACACAAGCTTAAATATCAATGTTTTTCTTATATAAGAAACCCAAAGTATAAATAAAGAGCAAAACAAAAGATAGAGATAGAAAGTAAGGATCTTTCTCAAATGAGAAGGGATCATGAAATGAAGGAAAGGGAGAGGGAGAGGAAAGAAAGGGGATAAAAGAAATTAAGATGTGTTATGTAAGTGTACCAACTCCACACAAGGAATATAAACACTATGCACTGCAGCCATGAACCAATAAACATAAAAATTAAAAGAATAATAAAAAGCAAACAACAGCAACAACAAACGATTAAGGCTAACTCAATCTCTGTCCCTAAGCAAGAAAGTTTAGAAATAAGCCTGGGGAGGAAGACAAAGTTCATCTACTAGTAAGTACACTTCCTATCAGAGAAAACTCAACAGCCTCTAAAGAACGCTACAAAATCTGGAAAGTACTCAACAATATGATATCCACAATATTCAACATATATTCAATAATTGGTAATTATGTAAAAGAATATGTGACCCATAATCAGGGAGGGATAAAAGACAATAAAAACTAACCGTAATGTGATCTACAAGTTGAAATTAGGTGACAAGAATTTTAGAAAACCTATCATAATTACGTTTAAGGAACCAAAAAAATATTGTAATAAATATATGGATGGAACATCTCAGCAGACAAATAGAAAAATAATCTAATGGAAACTCTAGAACACAAAATATGAGTCTAAAAATGAAAAAACATCACTCAGTGGAAAATACAATAGCTTAGAGATGGGAGAAGGAAAGGTCAGTAAGCTGGAAAACAGACAAGAAGAAATTACTGTTCAGAACAACAGAGGGAAAAGAGGTTGAAAGCATGAAAAAAACCTTCTGTAATCTATGATACAATATCAACCTGACTGAAGTATGCGTTACCTGTGTCTCTGAAGGAAGGAACAGGAGAACAGAAAGAAAATATTTGGAAAATTATGGTAAAAAATTATGGTCACTTTTCCTACCTTTGGAGAAAAATTAATTTATGGATTAAAGAAGGTTGATAAATCCCATGAAAGATCTATCTATCTATCTATCTAGAGAGAAGCAAACACAATCATATCTTATTTAAACTGGTAAAGGAGAAAACTTTGAAAGAAAGCAAAGGAAAAAACTGACCCACTACGTACATAGAAAAACATAATTCAAAGGATGGCTGCCTATTTTTCAGATACAATAGCCATAGGAAGAAAATTTAATGACATCTTTAAAGGAACAAAAGAAAAAAAATTTCTGTTTAAAGAACCTAAGGAAAAAGAAATTCTGTTAACCCAGAATTTCATGTAAGGTTAAAAAGTACTTTCTACATGCAAGACAAAATAAGATATTTTTCATCCAAAAGAAGAAAGAGAATTTGTTGCAGCAGATCTGTACTATAAGAAATGCTAAAGGAAGTTTTTCATTCTGAAAGGAATTAACACCAGAAAGAAAAGTGTATTTATTAGAAAGACTAAAAGGTACAGGACACAGAATAAATATAAAAGGCAATACATTTTTGCTTCTCTTATTTTTTTTTGTTTTCTTTACTTGCTTCTCTACTTTCTTTCTCCTACTTTCTTTTACTTATTTTTTAAATTAATTAATCTTGGGTTTTTTTGAGACAGGGTCTTACTATATAGTCCAGACTGACCTCGAACTCACTCTGTAGCCTATGCTGGCCTCAAACTTGTGGCGATCCTCCTGCCTCAGCCTCCCAAGTGCTGGGATTACAGGCATGCACCACCACGCCAGGCTAGGGCAAGAATTGTTAAGAGCAGATTATGGGGTTTATAACTTAGATGGCTATACAGTATATAGCAACAACAACACAAAATATGGATATGGGTAAAGCTCTGTACAGACTAACTGCCACAAGTATACTTTGAAAATAAAGACAGCTGGTTGTTGCAGAAACAAGGAAGATTGGCTCTACTAATATCAGAAAAATATAAGGCAAGACAAAGAACAGTACCAGAGGTGAGGTGATGAGAAATATTTCAATAAAATTAAAAGGCCAATGAATTGGGCCCGGGATTTAGCTCAGGGGTTTCGGTGCCTGCTGCGCAAGTGCAAGGACCCGAGTTCGATCCCCGGTACCAAAAAAAAAGGCCAATGAATTGGGGAAAATACAACAATAACACAGAACTAAAAAGAGAATCAGACAAATCTACAGTAAAAAGAAAGATTTTACATTCACCTTTCTAAGCAATTGATAAAAAGTTAGAGAAAACATTTAACAAGGAAAACAACACATGAATGATATTACCAAACTACTTTCCTAAAGTTGAGAATGCTACACCCAATAGTTGAATAATATGCATAATTCTCAATGAAGTCTGGAAAAGTACAATACATCTCAGATGGGACCAGAACTAATTTAGAAGCCAAGAACAATAAAATATATAGGAAAAGTATACAATTTCAGATGTCAAACACCTCACTTTTGTATTACCCATGAATCAAAAAACTGCAATTAAAAATATTTTTAAAT